GACTGCACAGAAAGCAGCTTCAGGAGGCACAGCGCCTACAGGTACCCACCCAGCCCATGGCTGCGGGCTCCTGCCCACCTCCTCTGCCCTCACCCGAGCTCTCCCAAACCCGAACCCCAACCTCCACTCCCCCGACTGAGGGGAAATGCCAGGGCACATCGAGTGACACTCACACACAACAAAAACAAACACAGCACAACAGAACAGCACACCTACATCTACCAGAGGACAGAGGCGAATTGTTCATGGAGGTTGCATTGTTGTAGTTTGCAGGCCACATACTGGTTCGCTCTTTCTCTGCCCCCAGCCCTCCCATTTTCCTCTAATGCTGTTCTCTTGGTGCCTGCCCAAGTTACCTCCCAGAGTTCCTTACTGAGAATGAAAACAAGTGTTTTTCTCTGTGTTGACCAGTGAGCCGGCAAATACATAGTGTGTTTGAGGTACAGCCTGGGAATGAATCAGGTGAATTATCACATTTGTTTTGGCTTTGCTTGTAGTGTCTCCATGAGGCAGGACCAAAACTTTGGCACATGGATCCATTGCATTCATTTTTTCTCCCCTTGTGTTGGTTTGGTATTTTTGGGATGAAAGAAGCCTCTTGTTTTGCAAACCTCTCTGTGTTTCTAATGTGGTTTCCTTTAGGTTTTTATTATGTATCTGTTATTTAAAAGGGACTTAAGGATTTAGAGAGGTTGTCTCCCTCCCTGTTCCCTCTTTCTCTCTCTCCTTCTCCCTCACTCTCTCTCTCTCCCTCTCTCCTCTTTCTTACACACACACACACACACACACACACACACACACACTCCCCTTTGCACCCCTAGCTGTGTGGTTTTAAAATTATGTTGAGGAAATGGATCAGTTTGGGTTATGTCAACCTAAGAAATATTCAAACCTGTAAGAATTTTTGTGAGTTTATTTGAGCCAAACTGACAATTGCTGGGAAGCAAAATCTCAAAGGATTGAGAAAATGCTCCAGAGAATGGCAGTTTTGCACCTTATTTGATACAGTACAATCCAAATAAGACTTACATGTATTAAATCCATTGGTGATAGAATAAAA